GAGAGACGCCCATAAACGATAACTAATAAGAAGCCCTTACACCATTGGGACTGCCAGAGATGAAGCGCTAAGGAGCATCGAGTGTCAGCGGCGATCCAAAAAACATGACCTTCGGAAAAGAACAAGGATACCTTGGTGATGGTGGTTCTGCGAATCGTCCGAGCACTGCACTGGGTTGCCCAGAGGGGTCAAGAACCGTCACAGCGTACTTTGTGCCTGCTGCCGAGCTTGTATTCCTAGGGTCTCCGGCCTACGGTGGCATTGCGTTTCTTTTCACTCGTCGCCTGTTGGACGAAGTGCCTGGAAAGAAATAATTTAGCGCGTACGAGCAGCATGGCAACGGAGGTGATACCGACGTGCAAGGGTAATTCTTGGACAGACAGTGCTGAGGGAAAAGTGATGAGGATATGCGACCGAGTTGGCCTTAGATATTTACCTGACACTGGAAGACGAGGAGATCAAGGTGAGGGATAATTGCTAGAGGTGTCAATCATGGATATTCACCTTGTCCTGGCCGGGCAATCGATTACACTTGACCTTCCTTGCCCTGGCACTCAAGTGTAAGCCATGGACGATGAGCCGGCGATGGGAACAAACCTGCAGGCATCGCAGGCGGTGTTCTGTTTCCTCGGAGGCGGCAGCGCTTTAGCATACTCGTGGATCTGATTCTGCATTGATTGAGATGGGAGCGCGAAGCCTGTGTGGGCGCGTTGGGAAGTGAGCTCGCGCACAGCCGCGGGGTAAGAGTGAGACAGGACCTGGGTGAGGGGATAAGGGGGAATCGTCAGCTATGTTCTGGTTATCCTGCTGCATTTAATATGCGGAGGAGGAGGACGGCTTAGGGGTGCCGCGGACAGGGAGGGAGGAGAAGCCTTGTTTAGCATCGAACCTGGATACTTATAAGCATGCGGTGGTCGAGGAAGACTAATAGGGCCAAGCAAATGTCCCAATTAGGTAACCCTCCCAAGCCAACGCGTCCAGCTTTCGGAGCCGAAATTTTTACTCTCAGGTCAACGTCAACATGGTCAAGGTCTCAATTGTCGAGGAAAAGGAAGATGTCGTGTCGTCCCCATACGCCACCGACGACGAGTCCCGCACGTCCTCCTCAGCCTCCCTCTCCTCAGTATCCTCCGAGCTCTCTGCCGACGAGACCTTCTTTGACCGTGTCGCCGCTCTCGTAGACATCGTTCCCCCAACAACACGTCATTCTATCTCCTCACGTATCTCCAAGACCGCTTCGTTTATCAAGCGTGGGGGAAAGATTGCAGGAAATATCGTATGGGTCGTCACAACTTCCGCATTGCTCGTGGCACTTCCCTTGGCGCTGAGCCTGGAAGACGAAGCCAAAATAGTAGCCCAAGAAAAGGAGATGATGGAGCAGCAACAGGGAGCTCAGCAGGTAACTACATAGTCCCGGGTTATTCGTTAAGTTTTCGCTGACACCTCAGCAGATGCTCGCGCCGTCCATGTACCCACCAGGTTCTAACCCGAACCAGCCACCACAAAAAGGCCTTGTTCCACCTGGTTTCTAAACCCCGCGGGATTGTCATATTCATCTAGGGAAATGGCGCCATTATACTACTTATTTGAGCAGCCATACCCATTCTCACCCACGATGGGTGAACTATTTTTGTCTCGCTCACGAGATGCAGGCACCTCGAGCCTCCCCCGTCTCCATGATTTGTGTAGTTACGGACTATAGATTCGTCTCTCCAATACCGACCCCAACTCGTTTAATATTCGTGCTTTTACTCTATATACATGCCGCGCTCAGCGCGTCGTTACTCTGCAAGATGGACACGTCTGGACATCAAGGGTTCAAGGCAACTCAAGTGCTCAAAATGACTGTATAATGATCTACTAACAAATCCTACCGTCTAATCCGACATCTATCCATCAAGTCAACAAACGATCAAAATGATTCGGGAGTAGGACCTACAATGGGTGCTGGACGCGCAGGGAATACTACCGGCCGCACAAAGTTTTCCCTAAAGTATCAGGCCCAGTTTTAGTAGATGAAGGAGCAATCTAAATGCACGTTCACTTACGCAGTCCGGTAGCGGCGAAGGTAGGTGATGGCATGATTCTCGATCTCCGAAGGTTCCCCCATTCCAACGGCCGCCCAGTCCCCAGGCACATCTGCATCGTCAATATAGCGTCTGGTTACCTCGTCTGGGCTAAGAGTAGGCCACCAGACAGACTGCCCAGCTCTAGCAAGGATCGACGCAATCGCTTTTGGCAACACTGGTGCACGAGAGGGAGGGCGCAGCGTGACAGACGCCACCAGGTCCAGCAAATACTCATACGTCAGCGTGGACGGTCCTGGCAAAGAAATGGTGCCGGGGACTTGTGGAATCGCCATCAGATTGGCGAGGGCTTGGGCAACATCCATGACCTAGAAGAAGAAATATTTTCACGTCGCGGCAGCGGAGATGATACTATGGTGAGAAGCTCACATGGACCGGGCGTATTTTCGTCTCTCCCTGATTCAGCTTCCACCAAATAGGCCAAACTAAGAACTATCAGTCAGTGATAACAGTGCCGATGCTCTTGTTACACACCTGCCATGTTGGTGAGGAGCTTATCCTCGTAGCCATACAGCGTCCCAGGTCGGATAATGGTAGCCGCTGGGAACACAGCTTTGACTCGCTCCTCACCTTCGGCTTTTGTTTGGTAAAATTTGGACTCAGATGTAGTTGACGCATTCAAGTGCGAGACGTGCACGAGACGCGGAACACCAGCTTGCGCAGCAATCTTGGCTATCCGCTCGGCGCCATCGACGTGCACAGACTTGAAGTCGAAATTCCTATTTGTAACACGCGTGGGTTGGTCCGGGTGTTTTATACAGTCATATCATACGCACTTGGTTTCAAAATCCCGACCGACAAGGTTGTATACGATATCAGAATGCCTGAGGCACTCAGCAATCTGGTCTTCGTTCCGGATATCCCATTCCTGCGAACACTCATTAAGTTGTGATAATTTGCAAGAGTACGGATATCTACCATTCGGACAATCCGGCCCAAATCACCCATAGGCCTGAAAATTCGCGCTTCGTCCTCAGTCACGGTATGGAATAATGACCTGCGTGCCCATCCTTGCTGTGCACAAAATCAAACATGGATGAGGGTGGGGGGCTCGCGTGTCAGAGGGTCAGGTCACCCACCCTAACTTCGACACAAGGTATCTCCCCAAAAATCCAGTACAGCCAAAAACCGTCACGACATGGTTGGTGTTCGCGCTGTAGCCTGGAGGCCCCTGTGCGATGATAGGCTTCCTCGACGGGAGTGTTACGAGGTCGTGGTATGCCCGCTGGAGGAATTGATTAATTTGGAAGTTCAGGGGATTGGGGAGAGATAAACACCTGTCCAGGTCTTCTAAGTGCACACTGCACGCGCAGGAGGTTGGGGGTGGAGGTAATCATGCCCGTATAGATGCCCTACACGGGATGTTGATAGTTCGGTGGATGGCGGAAGCAACGGGCCCACTTAGGTCGGCGCACGTGGAAAAATTTGGCACAACAAACTGATCAATTTCACTTGCATTTGTACGACGACCTCTCTTAACGTTCCTTATCCCCTTACACGTGTAGTGCATTACGACGATGGTTCAAGGCAAGACCAAAGGGCTCACGAACAAGACGGCGTCCTCTCGTCATGCGGCCAAGGCTGCTGCCAACCCGAAGAAGGGCCAACGGCACATCGCACCCAAGAAGCCTGCCCTGCTGAAGTCGGCTGCAATGAAAAGGGTATGTATTCGTAGTCTTTGCTTAGGAAATGGGATCTTTACAGTTTGTATTCCAGGATCTGACAGCCAAAATCAACAAATCTATCGAGACCCAGATGGTCCAAGCAGGCATCTTCTGGCAAACTGACAATAATGAAGAATGTCGGCACAGACGCGTAAGTGCCATAATTCATTTCCGTTCCTTCATATTCATTTGCAAGGTCTCTAACTTTCCGAACATATGGTCACATCTTCAGACCCCCCACGAAAGGAAAAGCGAAAGCATGACATCCATAATACGCTCTCACAGAATGACAAAACTGTGGTAAGTTTCTTGCCTCGAGGCATATGTCTTATCCAATAAAAGCTAATGTGCACATGGCAGTCATATCTGATACATCGACGACCATCATAGGCGCGAAGGGCCGCGCTTTGTCGGGAGAATATCCTATACTACGAAACCACAAGGGTCTGTGTACTCCGCGGGGAGAACTCGACAGGACTTCATGACGTGGATATCCCTCCTGAGCCTGCAGATTGGGCATCCCTTTACCCATCAGTTGAATGTAAATTATTTCCGGGTGCATATCAATCCATACGTATGTCAGCTTCTTCGACCAGCAATTGCCCTCAGTATGTGATTCTTCAAGTCCACTGTTAGTCCACTGTACTATCTATCATTCATTGGGACGTTCAAAAATTTCGTCTTCAGGTTTTTCAATGGCTTCCTCTTCACTTTCGCCTCTAAGAATTTACAAGGGACAATGCCAACTTTCTTTCTTAGTGTACATACGAATATCAAACCAAAATTTTAACCATCGAATTTAGTGGGGATGCTGTCGCCGGAAAGAAGCTGGATCGAAAAGGGGAGTTCAACTGAATTCCACGGCTCATGCGCACGCAGTGCCAAAGTCAAATAAAAATGCTGAGGTGAATCTGATGATCCTCGTTCTAGAGGCTGAGTTTATGATTATCTGCATCAAACATATGGCCGCCTGGCGAAATGGCATCGCGTCTGACTACGATGTGTTGTGATCAGGAGATTGCAGGTTCGACCCCTGCGGTGGTCATTTTTGCGCTTCATTCTTTTCCTTCCAACTCTCGTGAGTCGTGGATATTCCTGAATCCTAAGTTCTAACTTTGTTGAAGGTTTTCGGCCTCGGAGGTTCCACTCATATATCTACAATGCGTGTATAGCCTATAATACTGCGCTGCCCTTGCAGCGTGCTTAAGAAATAAAAATAGGAATATAAAGCTCGGACCGGAAACAAAAGTGACCACCGCAGGGGTCGAACCTGCAATCTCCTGATCACAACGTATCGTAGTCAGACGCGATGCCATTTCGCCAGGCGGCCATGTATATATGTTCCATGTTCGACTTAATATTCCCTCTTGCGGATAGTTGCTTATGTTATGCCGAGAAGCCACTGGCGCTACCAAAAAAATTAGGCGTTCCTGCCAACCTCAGACTCAACCGCCATGCCGCGTCGTCGATCTACCAGAGGCCGCTCTGCTGCTGGAAAGGCACGACCTGTGGATCGCGCAGACGCTAAGATCAGTAAGTGGAACAAAGCTTCCGATGTCCCCCTGGACGAAGAGGACCTCTGTGCGTACTTCATACCCTTAGCTAGTCTATTGGCCTACTTATATTTGTTCAGTTCATGCCTCCAGGGATAAAGTCCTCCTAGACGGTGACAACTATTTGCAAGACGACGATGGTGATGACGACGAGGTCTTTGCCCTGAAGGGCTTGGAGGACGACGAGGACGTAGATATGGATGAAGACGAGGAAGAGGAAGAGGAGGAAGGACAAGAGGAAAGTGTCACCACGAAGAAGGGGAAAGAGAAATCAAAGAAAAAGAAAAAGAAAACAGAGTCGTCTGAGGAAGAAGGGTCAGAATCCGAGGAAGAAACCTGGGGGCGCACTAAATCTGCCTGGTATTCGTCGAACGCAGTGCAACTTGAGTCCGATGATGAAGAGGGCAACGAGTTGGAGGAGCAGGAAGCGAAGAGATTGCAGAGTAAAATGCGGGAGGAAATGGGAGACGCATGATTTCGGTTTGGGCGACGCGCTAGATGTCGAAGGTGTACTCGAAACGGAGTATGTATCCTTTTCAGCGGTCGTCTGACGCAAGACTCATCTTTTTCCTCCTCAGTGAATTTGTCGAATCCACGCCTGTAGTGGTCGAGCCCCTTCCTCAGGATCAAAAGCTGCTGCTTCGTCATCTAGAGAAGACTAGTCCAGAAACTCTGGCCTTGGCTCGCGACTGGGAAGATACTGTCGAAAATTTGGCCAAAACGCAGGAGAAACTAGCGAAGTAAGCTCATCACACTTAAATTTGCAGGCGAACGCTGAATCTTCTATAGGCTGAATTCTGAAGACCCAGACGCAATCAGTCTTGGAATGAGTCATGTTTATTATCGTGAGGACTTCTGCAATTCGGGACATTCTGTTGCTAACATTGCTATAGAAACCTTGCTTACTTACACGACAACTCTCGCGTTCTACCTTCACCTTCGTAGTTCAGAGAAGTACGTGCAACGGCCTGAATTGCTGAGGACTCACCCAATTCTGCGGCGTCTGCTGACCTTGAAGCAGTCTCTTACGACTCTGGAGGATCTGGACTTCGACCTGTCTGATTCAGAAAACGACGAAGATGATGAGAGCGATGATAACACAAGTATGACGTGGAATGAAATCATGGCGGATGGCGAGAGCGTGTGGGATAGTTCCGGGGAGGTAGCTATGGATGACGACGAGCTCAGGCTGCTGCTCGAGGAAGCTTCGTCGAAGAAACGCAAGCCTGTGCAGGAGGAATCCCCGAAGAAGAAGCGCAAGACCACTTCGACCTCTGGACCGACAAAAGCTGCTCCCATCTTCGACCTTGTTGAGCCGGAGTTCGCACCATCTAAAGCATCCTCGTCTCGTACTTCCTCAGCCTCCGTAATCACGGATACCTATGGCGAAGCCACCTCCCTCCAACATGCGGATGCTGCCGATAAGAGTGCACGCAAAAAGACTTTGCGCTTCCACACGTCAAAGATCGAGAGCGCGAGTGCTAGACGACAGGGTGCGAGGAACCAGGCTGTCGGTGGTGACGACGACATTCCCTATCGCGAGAGGAAGAAGGAGAAAGATGCTCGGCTCGCGAAAGAAAATGCCAAGCTCAGAGGACAAGGCGGTGAAAATCTGGACGATACAGAACCAGAACCGCGGCCTGCGAAACGAAGACGAGAAGGTGACGATGGTAGTGGCGACGAGGAGCCGGCAGACGCAGACGGCTACTACGAGCTGGTCAAGAAGAAGTCGAAAGAAAAGAAGGAGCACAAAAAGGTCGAATATGAAGCGATGCAAGAGGCTGCACGGTATGTCTCTTTTCACACCTTCAATAGTGATAACCCAACATCCTGCTTATATCTCATCTCCCAGGCCCGACTTCGACGAGGACAATGCTGCTGGCCCTCGCTCCCTTACGCGCGCTATATTGGCGAACAAGGGTACTCACGCCCCATCGTCCAAAAAGCGTCCGCAATCCCAGGGTCAAGAAGCGTCTCAAGTTCGACAAGGCGAAGAAGAAGCTCTCGTCCCAGAAGGCGGTGTACAAAGGTGGGCTTGCAGACACTGGGAGATACGACGGAGAGAAATCTGGTATATCGAAGGTCGTCAAAAGTGTCCGGCTGGGTTAATATGTACAAGGTTGCCATTGGTGTACTTCTCATTTCTTCTGCCATGGGTGGTTTTATCAGCGAAAGGACATTTTCGACCCTCTGTATCGGCTCCTAGGTGAAGTAAGCCAAAGGGTTCATTTCGTTGGTCAGCTGCATCATCCAAGGCCTCGCTGGAATCTCCTATTCTTGATTGCGGTTGTCCTTGCCAATCCCGCTTTATACACCACGCTCACCGAAGAATTTCCAGTGCCACATGCGGATACGATATGGCACAAATCGAGGGACGAATGGATGGACAAGTTACCGCATGATGAACGGTTCTCACTCTTAGATCGTCTAGATTCTCTCGATCTTTACAGCATACTGAACGTGATAGACGCAAGTAGGACCTACATACCACTCGGTGGTTTTCGTTCAAGAAGCTCCATCGTGTTGGAAGACAGTTCAAGATCCGTGTTATTTTTAGGTTCATCGAGGTAACTGCTCACTCAAATCAATTATGCGCTAGCTCTCAGTTAAAGGATCAGCATTTACTTGTGCAGGACAATCTCTCATCTTTCCATCGCAATAAGTCTTTGGAAGCTGAGCGTTTTCAATCATGCAGCTCGAGCTGGCACAGAAGCAGAGAGGTGTGGGCTCCACGTCCCATACCTCCGCGCAAGATGTTCTTGTCGCACATTGTACTCCGAGAAAAGGAACATGTTTACACGTGAATGAGGTAAAGATTAGGATACACACCTACACAACGGGGTGCGGAATCGCCATGGCATGCTCCATTCAAGTAAGATACCGGGGTATAGGACCATTCAAGCTCACTCTAAATCAGAACGTGAGCGCCTGGTTATGTCAACTTGCACATATGGTGGTACAAACGAGGGGACACCAGCCATGAGGTGATGTACGTTGTGAAGGAAGAGATAAGCAAGGACCATACCAGCTTGAAAGTGTATCTGGGAGTATTACCACTTGCCCCTTCGCAATGGCCTTCTTGGCAGCCAATGTGTTTTTCCCCTTTGCGCCCCGTACACTCTGGAGGTCTTCGAACTTCCTCTTAGCATACCGCTTCGCCTCAGCATCGTCCACAAGCTCGTCGACCAGCGTTCGTTTGCGATTCGCCCGCGTAAGATTGTCTCCACTAGCAGTGCCGAATGGCGTACTAGAAGGGCAGTATAGTCCCTATCTTAGAGTAGCAGCTCGTCAAACGTGGTGGACGTGCGAAGAACGGACGGAGCTTACTGCAAAATGTTTGGGTAGGCCTTTGATTCCTTTTCCCTCACCCTCATCCTTCCTGTAGAAGCGTTTCGGGTCGAGCTGATTCCGAAGACGGAGCGCTTCCACTTCTCGGTACAATCGAGGTAAATCAGCCTCTGCTGGAGCAGGTAGGTCGAACCAATCTGGGCCAGCGGTTTTATTTTTGAGCTGAGAAGGTCGGCTCCGTCAGAATAATTGATGATAAAATATAGGGATGTACAGACTTCTTTCTTTTCTTTATGTGTCAAGGGTTTGCCAGACTTCGTGAGCTCCGGTGGTGGTACTGGCGGTTGTGGTACAGCGAGGGAAGATGATGCTTTTTCCGCTGATTCGACGTCTGGGTCGCGCATAACTGACGGACCATCGAATCGAGACTCGCCGAGCTCAAAGTAGGCTGGAGGTAGAGATCCCGGGTCTAGCGGAGGTAATGGCCTGTGAGAAAGTTAGTGATGGGGTTCACAGATGCGTCGTGCGTACGGCATACTTTTGACTAGAGTCGCCTTCCAATGTGATGATATTATCCTCTCCGTCCTCGATGTCTTTGGGAAGTTCTGCTGCCTTTGCAGCGGCGCGGCATAGTTCTTTCGCGCCTTCTCTAGGAGAGATTCTAGATATTCCGGTGTGACTGGGTCATCGCTATCTGAATCTGAGAATTCTGCATCACTGTCCGAGCTTGAACTGGAGGCTGATGATTCCGACAAGGTTGGTTCCTCTAGTCGGTCGGGACAATCGAGTCGGTACATAAGCAGAAATCAATTGAAATATAAGTATAGACGTACCGATGACCTTGCCTTTCCCTTTATTGATGAAGTTGGTCGATAGAGCCATCGGAAATTGGAACAAGCTTGACGATTTGAGGAACTCAAGAAGCGGCGAAATTTCGCAAGTGATCGAAATCACGTGGTAGCTCCAAGTTTCGTTCCTCCGTCACCGTCCCCGTGTCGACTGGGCGAGTCCCGGCCATGCTCTCTCTCACTCGCAGTCTCCGGTTATCGCTGCCAAGGGTTGCGCGTTTGAATAGCTTGCGATCTGTCAGCTCCCAGTCGTCCTCACCGCCGCCCCCATCCCCTGAAGCGCCCACGACGCGAACCACATCCTTTGGCTTCAAAACCATTCCCGAAGAGTCCAAGGAGTCGCTTGTTAAAGATGTTTTCGATTCGGTTGCATCATCATATGACCTTATGAACGACGCCACATCGTTTGGTGTACACAGGCTCTGGAAGGACTCTTTTGTCTCCGCACTCAAGCCTGGTCGCAAAGGCCCTATGCGCTGTATAGATGTAGCTGGTGGCACGGGGGATATTGCACTTCGATTACTTGACTTTGCGAGGGAGAATTATGCGGACAGAGAGACGACTGTTGCGGTCGCGGACATCAACGCGCAAATGCTCAAGGAAGGATACCGTCGTTTCAAGAAAACCATGTATCATAACAG